ATATGTATGTGTTGGCTTGCGTGTTTTACACATCACGGTCTAAAAATGTGTTGGTTTGCTTGAGTTATCTGACGCATGTAAAGTCGTGTCCCAAACTACGAACTAAATGCTCTCACGGCAGCTTTCGTATCCTGAAGCTCGTTTTCCTATTAGGTCCATTCTTAGAGACGGTAAAACTTAAATCATTGCGTTAATTTTTAAATGCGCCAGCGGCAACTAACGAGTTTTCGTTTTACGTACCGGCCGGTTCGTAACCAGAATCGTGGTTCGTAGCAACCGAATCATTTTTAGCTTGGCTGGTTGTTGATCGCCCCAGTTTACAATTTTGTCTAACAGCTGTATATTCTAAATTTTATTTGGTCATTCTAAATTTTCCTTTTAGGTCATGATTCTAAATTTTGATTATATTGTTCTAAATGATTATATTATTTTAAATTTTGATTATATTATTCTAAATGATTATATTATTTTAAATTTTGATTATATTGTTCTAAATGATTATATTATTTTAAATTTTGATTATATTATTCTAAATGATTATATTATTTTAAATTTTGATTATATTATTCTAAATGATTATATTATTTTAAATTTTGATTATATTATTCTAAATGATTATATTATTTTAAATTTTGATTATATTGTTCTAAAATCTGATTAGATTACTCTATATTTTAACTATATTATTTTTTGAATATTTATATTTATATTTATATTTATATAATAATAATAATAATAATAATAATAATAATAATAATAATAATAATAATAATAATAATAATAATAATAATAATAATAATAATAATAATAATAATAATAATAATAATAATTATTATTATTATTATTATTATTATTTTAATTATTATTATTACTATTATCATTATATTTTGAATTATATCATTTTCTGTATTACTTATATTAATCGAATTTTTTATTCTACATTTCACCTTAAAAATGCTCAAACTACAAATCACATTTTAAGAATGTAAACAAAACAAACATGGCCATATAGGCTTACTTTGAATCCTTCTTCGGGAAATTATTTATAATTTTATCTTCGCATTTGTTCCATGTCTTTCTTAAGTTCATTCAGTGGTATACTTTTTAATTGTTAACATTTCACCCATAGCAGACTTTTAAGAAAATTCCTGCAAAGCTGGGTCGCGAAGTTCGTTCGTTAAATGGTAATCTGGTAGACCTACAAAACATCGTCAACATCTTCTCTAGATGACATCATAAGATACGCTCTTAGCACAAACACATTAAAAATACAAACTTTGTTATTCAGGCTTTACACTTTATTTTTCAGTTATGTTTTGATGTTATTTTAGGAGCTTATACAAGACCCACCCCTCAGCCTTGTTGCCGCCATTTTCTCCCCCCGCTCAAAGATTTTCCCCTCTTGATTGCTGAGTAAATCCCTCGTAGCCTGATTTATCCTCGCGGTAACCTCCCTTTACCAAGTCTATAAGCTTTGATAGATTGCCCTCCCTTCGAGAAGTGTTTGTGTAGTATTTGATCCAGGGTGCCCCAGCTTGTTATAAGTGACTAGCGATGTCGCCAGTGTTCCAACAATTAATAATATGATACTCTTGGAGATAGCCGACCCTTGGGAGAGAGAGACCTTTTTTTTTGCAAAGGTAAACGACAACGCGTTCGCTATGATATTCTATTTTCTGCTAGAAGAAAAAAAAATTATGTAAAAGAAAAAATAATTCGTTCGTATTGCATAACAGTGGTTCAAAAGTTTGTTTACAAGAAATCAGTTGTTTTTTCAAATTAAAAAAGGTATGCTGGCGTTTTGCAGTATAAGTATGGACCTACATGTTGGGAATGGGGAGGATTTAGCAGGCTTTTCAGGAAAATATGTGTACATATTGTTTTGACTGGGAAAGAGAGAGAGAGAGGGAGTAGGTAGCTTGTTATTGATGTAACCATATATGTCTCCATTTGGTACAAATTGCACAAAATAAGAGAAAAAGGTTGCTAATCTAAATAATTACACCAAGTTTTTTTCTTTTCATCCAGTGTAAAAAGGCCACCTGACTTGGACCAACAACTGCCAGGGATAGATGATCCTAGACGTGGACACTAGTGGACACTAAGTCTGTTCTAGCCAGTCTGGGCATGTTGGGCTAGTTCAGAGACAGTTAATTGTTTCTTCTTCTGTGCCATGATTTAAAGATTTTTTTAAAAATTTCAATTTCTCTTTACTATAATACCTAATATAGGGATGTTTTGGGTTTAATTTATTACAAATAAAAACATAACACTTATATTAAAACTGGATTTATAATAAAATATATATAATTTACCACTCTTGTCTCGCAGTAATCAAGTTACATCCCCTTATTTCACAGGAAGTCATGTCAAAACAGGGAATGGGCGGCAACTCTATCAAGTTGACGAGTCGTCAGAAAATCAAAACTGACCTTTGACAGTTGAAGAACGTGAGTGAAATGCCAAAATGGAATATAATTTCTTTTCTTCCCGCCCATCTCCATTCACCGTTACACAAATGTCGTCAGCTCTCATTTCCGGGAGAATCAGAGCGTAAACTCACGTGTTGACTCTAAAAAAATTAAATGAAGTTTTTTCTTTTCATTATCAGCAAGTAAAAAATACGGTATTTAATATACTTGATGTAGAAGCTAGATGGTTATTGTTTTCTTGCTTTAAAAATCCTGCACACAACGGGAATGCAAAAAAAAAATCTAACTTTTGTTTGGTAGATTTGAAATTTATAGGTAAGCCTAATTTTAGTTTAGTAGATTTGAAATTTATTGATATATATAATATTAATAAAATTGATAATGTTAGTATAATATGCTTAAAAATACTAGATATCTCTAATCTAAAAGTTTTGAAATTTAGATATTTTTTTTTTAAAAATGTATTTCGAAATCTTGTTTTAAGTCTTTTAAATGACGTATAACTAAAAAGCTACCGTTTTCTTCGTTTAAAAAATAAATAAAAATAAATTAATGAAAACAAATCCGTCATTTAAAGAAAATATTTTTCATCTAGAAAGAAAAATGTCTCACAGCTTGTACATGGACATTTCTAGAACGTATGCCCATAAAGAAGACGCAACTTTGTTTAAATACGAGATACTGCACCGAAATGCCATTCAAGTAACGGTAACAATATTAGTCAGGTAGTTGATTACATAAAGAGGAATACTCTTTGTTCCGCTCAAGTTAAAAAGTGAAAATAAAAAACAATTATATGAAACAAATATTTCGAATCATGGGAATTTAATTTTTTACAAGCTTGTATTTAAATTGATTCCTTGTACGTGCTTTTGACTTTTGTCTTTTTCTCTCATGGATCGAAACTGGCGAGCAAAACTTCGACCACTTCTACCGGGCCGATTTCCTTCAAACTTGGCCCATGTGTCAAGACCCGATGACAAGCAATTTTACATCGAATTTGACCTAATAACATGCTCTTTAATTGTTATCCATAAAAAAAAGTTGAAAATAAATTAATATCCTTAAATATTTAATTTTGAACCACCATTGAAATAACTAAAAATAAAAGCGTGAGTCGGTATATTTTGTATTAAATACTTTTACAAAAATACAAAAATTTAATAATCTACCCACGTTTTTCTTTTTAGTGATTTCAATTGTGGATCATTATTATGGATTTTAAGAAAATAATTTATCTACTTCGTTTTAGTTGTACTCAAACATTTTTAAAATTAATTTGTTTAAGTATTATTTTAAGGGAGTGCATTAGTTATTACATTGATATTCATGACCCGAATTTTAATTTACAATTCGCTGTAGTACTGTACCCACCACAATAATTGTATCTTATATACCAGGATCAAACATTTCATCAAAATACCTGGTAGTTTGTAGTGGATATTTTCATCTCAATATGTTATGGTAGCATAAATATGGACTTATAAACATACAGCTATTTGCAAGATTTACTACGGTACTCATAAATACATGCAAAACATACAGACCCTAGAATTTTACCCTATTCAAACACCTGAATTGTGTTTTTCTTGCAAATTGATCGTCGAAATATTGATACCTCTTAAATGTTTGTTGTGTGCTTAGGGATCGTCAGTTAATGAGACGCTGAAATGGGTGGAGCAGACTTATGTCAAGAGCGTCACACGAAGTAAGGGAGGGGGGGGGGGGGGGTGGAAGAGGCGGTGTTAAGAAACTGTGACCTGGTCGCTTGTACTTTTTTTAATAAAGCACAATGTAAACGAAAAGTATGCTAATTTACGTTAGAATCGTCGTTACAAATTTTAAGTAAGCACTACAGCCCTTTCAGGCCAGATGGTCCATGGGCAAATGAAGTAGTTCATCTGTAGAGACTGTTTTATCTGAATCTGAAATCGGCAGATACATTATGGTCAGCACTACCCCATCGTCCGTTTGTAAATATTTTTTTTTATTTGTTGATTGTGCCATGTAAGACATAATAGCTTGACATATTTTCTTTGCTTTAGAGTTTGGTTTTATTCAACAAACTGGAGTATGTTAAAAACAAAAATAAAGTTTTAGACGTACGAACGATCAACACAACATGTTGATAAATAAAGTTGTAGACATACGATCAACACAACAGTATTTAATTTGTTCCCTCTAGTTTATTTACAGAAAACAAGTAAGTTTAACAAAAGGCATATCACTCAGCTTGTAATACACCCCCTCGTGGCAAATAGTTTTAAGTGTTTCATTCGTAATGCCAACATTGCACTCATCTCCCTCGATATAAAGAGTCAAGGGAGACAATTTAACATTTGTCAGTTTTTATGAAGGGGAGATAATCCAACACAAAATAAAATTGTGAAAGTATAGGAAGGATGGTAAAAGTGTTTTTAAAAAGTTAATGAATGTTTGCAATAAAAATACTCTTACATAAAAAAAATACAGCAATAAACAATGCAGCGGAGCTTAAAAATTCTAATTACGTTTTCATTGTTTACTTTTTGTTTTGTTGTATGAAAACCTAGGCCCTGAGGTGGAAGGTTTTTGTTGTGTGATTGCAACTGTTTATAATACTTCTGCTTTTTGCATATACAAAACCACATTTTAACAAGACGTATAAAAGATGTAATAATAATGAAAACAACCTATCCACGAAAGAAACACCTTTGATTCCACAACAAATGGTGTGGTAGTTTAAAAATTGAAACAAGAATAAATAGAGATATTTTTACAATATGATATGATTTATGGCAAGTAAATTTATTTTAAAAACTATTCATGTTAATCAACCAATTATATTCACATCTGCCTAATTATTGGAGCAGGCTACCAAAAATATATTTTTAACCCACAAAGTATATACAGTGGTTGTGATTACTATACTGTTTGTACTACACATGACGCTCCTACCTGTTTCAGTCGCTTCGTACCTATGGCTGATTTTGAGTTTCTCAACTAGTCTTATTTCATTTTTAATGCTTCTAAATTCACTGCAATGGTTGTTTTACAGTTAACTGACCAAAATAAGATTCTGAGACAATTTAAACTTTGACTGGAATCTTTATACCAAGCACATTTGTTTGCTATACCGTTAGTTAAAAACTAAATGAAATATTATTAAGTTAGACTTTTAAAAGTTTCACCACAAATGTGTGCACATACAAATAATGAGAAATAAGAAAAATCAAAAATATTTTTTCCTTGGTCCACTACTATTTTAGTCACAAAATAAAAAGCAACTTATTTGATCTTGAAAATGAAAAGCTAAGTTTTTTTTAGAAAGTCACTTGAATAAAATAAATAATCAATGATTAAATTTACATTTTATTCTATAGAAATTGTGAAAAAAATCTTCCATATTCAGTAGCCCAGCTCCAAAAAAGAAATAAATGTATTATATTACAACCAATCTCTATCACATATTGGGTCAAATTATCACAAGACACTTCATCAATTACAATGCCAGAGACCAAGTTACTATACAGAAGAAATTTTGACCCAGTTTATAATACAAAATACACATGTTAACCAATTTATAAGCTATAGAAATATAGATATATACAGCCCTATTTGATACAAGTGACCAAGTATTTACAAATTATAATAATTTTATTATTTACAAGTGATAATAAGTTCTCTAAAATGAGAAAATTGTAATAATAAAACAACTTTAGACTTAAACAACTCACTCTCATTTACTCAATACATATTTTTTTAAATTATGTTTTAACAATTGAATTCATGTTATTAATTAATCAGAAGTAAAAATAACCCAATAAACATACTTTTAAAATAGTAAAATAAGTGAACTTTTTTTCAATGCACAAAATGTTGTGATGTCCATTATTTTGTGGCGTGGCAGCAGTTGGTCAAGGGGGAGAGAATTCAGATATAGTTCTTTTTTACAGTTAAGGTTTCTTTGGAGTTGAAGTCATTCTTGTAGACACTAACAGATTCACCTAAAAAGTTTACAAATGTTAGATGTGATTATTGGTGCCATAAATACTTGATGAATAAACAAATGAACAGGTTATAATTAATTACAACCAGTATTTGATAGGGGTAATTATTATTCACTAGCTACTGTTTCATAAGATTGTGTAAAAATTCCTTAGAATTGTAAATGACCTGCTCTGAGCTGGGACAAGCTATAATTTGTATATCCTCCTCTGTATATTCTTGGCTCAGCAGCTCTTGAAATTTGATAAAACTTTGTTGAACGTTCACCTGTTATATCAACAAATTGATCATTAGTGGTTGACTTAATGAATGAATGAACTCAAATTCTAATTCAACCTCCATATTTAGAACACTAAATAATAGCAACTTCGTCCCTTATAGGCATTTATGTTTCAAATGTTTTGACCCTAGTTATAAATCAGAAGCATTAATGTTAATATGAGACTGCACATCAATAGCATATTGACTAACAAGACTGATAATCAATGAACTTATCTTCTGTGTACCTCAGGGACTAATTCCAAATACCCCATGACCTATCCAACTACTCTAGCAACCAAGCCAGACTATATCCAAATACCCCATGACCTATCCAACTACTCTAGCAACCATGCCAGACTATATCCAAATACCCCATGACCTATCCAACTACTCTAGCAACCATGCCAGACTATATCCAAATACCCCATGACCTATCCAAATACTCTAGCAACCAATCCAAATACCCCATGACCTATCCAACTACTCTAGCAACCATGCCAGACTATATCCAAATACCCCATGACCTATCCAACTACTCTAGCAACCAAGCCAGACTATATCCAAATACCCCATGACCTATCCAACTACTCTAGCAACCAAGCCAGACTATATCCAAATACCCCATGACCTACCCAACTAATCTAGCAACCATGCCAGACTATATCCAAATACCCCATGACCTATCCAACTACTCTAACAACCATGCCAGACTATATCCAAATACCCCATGACCTATCCAACTACTCTAGCAACCATGCCAGACTATATCCAAATACCCCATGACCTATCCAACTACTCTAGCAACCATGCCAGACTATATCCAAATACCCCATGACCTATCCAAATACTCTAGCAACCAATCCAAATACCCCATGACCTATCCAACTACTCTAGCAACCATGCCAGACTATATCCAAATACCCCATGACCTATCCAACTAATCTAGCAACCATGCCAGACTATATCTAAATGCCCCATGACCTATCCAACTACTCTAGCAACCAAGCCAGACTATATCCAAATACCCCATGACCTATCCAACTAATCTAGCAACCATGCCAGACTATATCCAAATACCCCATGACCTATCCAAGTACTCTAGAAACCATGCCAGACTATATCCAAATACCCCATGACCTATCCAACTACTCTAGCAACCATGCCAGACTATATCCAAATACCCCATGACCTATCCAACTACTCTAGCAACCATGCCAGACTATATCCAAATACCCCATGACCTATCCAAATACTCTAGCAACCAATCCAAATACCCCATGACCTATCCAACTACTCTAGCAACCATGCCAGACTATATCCAAATACCCCATGACCTATCCAACTAATCTAGCAACCATGCCAGACTATCTAAATGCCCCATGACCTATCCAACTACTCTAGCAACCAAGCCAGACTATATCCAAATACCCCATGACCTATCCAACTAATCTAGCAACCATGCCAGACTATATCCAAATACCCCATGACCTATCCAAGTACTCTAGCAACCATGCCAGACTATATCCAAATACCCCATGACCTATCCAACTACTCTAGCAACCATGCCAGACTATATCCAAATACCCCATGACCTATCCAACTACTCTAGCAACCATGTCATCGCTTACTTTGATTGGCCTGAAGAGTATGGCCTCTGTGTCTCTGTTGGCCAGGTACAGTGACATGCTCCTCTGTACCATTGGCAGTTTTGTCTTCAGATTTTTGTAAGTCTCTGCAACGACGTCATGAACTTTCTCGGGTGTGGCAAAAGGCTGCTGTCTCAAGGTCACTTTGGTGCTGACTTCTTCTTTTTTTAAACTTGTCACAATGTTAGCCTGTCAAAACAATACATCAACAGAATATGAAAGTTCAGCAGGTGAGTGGCCTTGACTTTCACCTGTTAGGTATAACTTTTTGTGTCAACTCAGGTAGGGCTATTTGTCTCAACTGTGGGGTATAACATTTTGTGTCACCTGTTAGTTATAACATTTTGTCTCAACTGTGGGGTATAACATTTTGTGTCACCTGTTAGTTATAACATTTTGTCTCAACTGTGGGGTATAACATTTTGTGTCACCTGTTAGTTATAACATTTTGTCTCAACTGTGGGGTCTAACATTTTGTGTCACCTGTTAGTTATAACATTTTGTCTCAACTGTGGGGTATAACATTTTGTATAGAGTGAATAGACATCTATGTCTATGTAAACTTGTTACATCAAACCAGAATCAAATCTTATCCTGGATATGAAAGACTGAATGTGTACAAAAGTCTTACCCTGGATATGACAGACTGAATGTGTACAAAAGCCTTACCCTGGATATGGCAGACTGCATGCGTACTAAAGCCTTACCCTGGATATGAAAGACTGAATGTGTACAAAAGTCTTACCCTGGATATGACAGACTGAATGTGTACAAAAGTCTTACCCTGGATATGAAAGACTGAATGTGTACAAAAGTCTTACCCTGGATATGACAGACTGAATGTGTACAAAAGCCTTACCCTGGATATGAAAGACTGAATGTGTACAAAAGCCTTACCCTGGATATGAAAGACTGAATGTGTACAAAAGTCTTACCCTGGATATGACAGACTGAATGTGTACAAAAGCCTTACCCTGGATATGACAGACTGAATGTGTACAAAAGTCTTACCCTGGATATGAAAGACTGAATGTGTACAAAAGTCTTACCCTGGATATGACAGACTGAATGTGTACAAAAGCCTTACCCTGGATATGACAGACTGAATGTGTACAAAAGCCTTACCCTGGATATGAAAGACTGAAGGGGTGCCACAAAAACTTCTGTCACATGGTGTATAAAATCCTCACAGCTGGTTTTCAACTGTTGATCCACATCTCTCTTAGAGTCAACAAACAGCTCTGTCACTTGTGGTGTGCCCTAAACAAATAATTGGCTTCAAAGGTTTAATAAATAATTATGAAAATTTCCTATTGACAGTTGATTATAAATGTAATTCTTAGTTGCTATTTAAATACATGAACTGATAGAAACCTAACAATGAATATGACAACTGAAATAGAGTTCATCTGTTGTTGTGACCTCTACATTTAAAGGGGTAATTGTGGTCAGTTCTATGCCCAGACACCTGTACTTCACCAGTGCTCAGGGACATCCTACCTTTCCAAGGGACTCAAACTCAAGACTTTTTGGGCAAGCAGTCATGCGCTGCTGTGCAACCAAGCCCTCCCATATATAAACTGATAGTATCTTTCACCACGAGATCATACTTTTTCACATCACGAGATCATACTTTTTCACAACCACGAGATCATACTTTTTCACAACCACGAGATCATACTTTTTCACAACCACAAGATCATACTTTTTCACAACCACAAGATCATACTTTTTCACAACCACAAGATCATACTTTTTCACAACCACAAGATCATACTTTTTCACAACCACAAGATCATACTTTTTCACATGGTTTAGAAGTGCAACACTTCTTTCCTAAGGAATAATGTCATCTCACCTCAAGGATAAACTGTAGCAGAGCATTGTTGCTGTTGAGTGAAAACAGCTGGGACTTTTTATTGAACAAGGAGTAGGCAGCATCTAAAAATAGAAAGGTGTTGTACAATAAGTAAAGGATGTTTAATACAAGGATAAGATCAAATACAGGCAAGTTTCATACTTTAGATAACAAGAAAGTGAGACAAAACAAAAATGTTCATATTCCATTATTCTACAGAGTTCTGTTACTCACCTTTATCTTTTAAACTAAAAGAAAATGAATGCTTCATTCTATAGAAATATATTATTCCCATCAACACAATGATAAACGTTAATAAGTTAATGGGTGTGAGTGGTTTAGATAGTACTTGGCGGTACAGACCCTCTATATTTAATCTGCTCATTTTTAAAAACACAACAGCTATTTATAGTAATAAATTCCTAAGGTGGCAGATTTGTCTTTTATTATTAATTTATTTGCAGACATTACTTAATTTATTAAAAAGGCTGTGATTTTATCCAACTAAAGAGCAGTACATATAGATACTTAACTGAGTTTAGTGTTTTTAAAAAGCAGCTTTCCTTTCAAAAAAAAAGAGTTTTATTATAATTGTGACTACAATTTTAACTGCAATATATTCATATGAACAAACAAGATGACAGTAGAAACAGATAAGTTCCTTAGAGCAACTATGTTTAAAATGAATGGTTAGAAGCAATACAATTATGACACACAAATATATACATTGCATCATAAATAATGGAATTAATAAAACAGGCATTTTAACACAACAATTCTAACTTAACTATATTTTTTTAAGAATGTTAGTTTATTAATTAAATGCTAAAACAATGAATCCTTAAGCCCCATGCTTATCCATCAACCTATTTAAGTTACCATTTCCAGTTAAATCTGTAAGTGTGTCACAGTACACAGTAAAAAAGATTTTTCATTTATGAAAATATAAGATAGTGCAAAAATGTGATTATAAACAAGTGAACTAAATAAGGAGTAAAGATTTTTACTAAATGAATTTTAGCTGACTTATAGGTACTACACTAGTTAGAAATAGTAGGTTGAAGGTAAAACACAACTACATCTATTGTTAGATCAAGCAACAGGGGGCAGCACAAGACATCTGCCCATGTGACAGCTGGAGGTTACAGTGATCAAGGATGCTGACTGAAGAAAAAATAAAACAACCGTACCTACAAGCGTGTGAAAGCCAAGCTGCCCTTCTTTAAACCCTGCCAGATCTGTAGAAGCGAGGGTCAACAGAGGGTCAATTTTTTTTTTTACTGAAAACCCTTTATTCCTATTTATTTTTCATTTTACTTTACTTGACAGAAAAGGACATTTTTATTTACTTTACGTCTTTAAAAAACAATATAGACTTTATACTGTTTAACTTTGTGTCATTGAAACCCAAAAATATATGAATACAGTAGCATAAAGGGTTTTCAATAGAAATCATGAGTTGGGAAATGTGTTAAGGTAAGGAAATTAGTTGGAATAAAAAACAATACAATTTACTCATACAATTTACTTGTAACAAAGTATGAGTTATGTAAAACACTATATGTAATAATGTTGTATTATTATAGATAAGAGTAACCCAAGCATTGATCTGAAATATATTTATAAATATATGATATATTTAAGCTATGATAAAGTTACAGAGCTGTACCCATATAGTATACATTATTTGTTATACTGTAAACACGTTAACAAGTAGACTTCCAGAAGTATAGCTTTACCAAGAATAATGTAGACATTGTTAACAGTGAAGTTGACAGTATAATGTATATCCAGTTAAAGAATCTCCCTACTGGGAAAATATTTTGAACAAAAATTTGATCAGGATTTCCAAAAATAATTTGTTTATCTGTGCTTTAAGGTCAGAATGTCACATGGGAAAGTATTTAAAATTTCAGTTTGAGTAAAAGATTAAAGCTAAAGAAACATCTGATTATGAATAATATCAAAAACCCACAACAACATTCACAAAAGTGACAGGAGAGGACTATTATATTAAACTACTATATTTGGTAATTTATATATTTATTTTTACTTTATAATTGCTTTATGTACATAAATATAAAAATGGTTTTAAAGTATGAAGAATGATAATTCTTATTTACTACATCATCAAAACCAAAGCCAGGAACATCTACATTTTCTTTAATAAAAACAACTAACAGCGTTCTTGTTATAATTTATCACAAAAATTCAGCTCTCATAGCTACCACATCTGTCACAGCTTAAATAACCTCAAAAAAAAGCACTACTTATCCTACATACAATTAGATTTTAAACATCTATCGAATGCTTTAAAGCAGGGGTCTCCAAACTACGGCCTTTCATCCGGCCCTCGGAGATAGTTTTGTCCACGGAAAAAAAAATGTTTGTTGGAGGTGGCTGAGAAAAAATTCAAAACTAACTGAAAATGTAGCATTGAGTGCAAATACCATTGAAGTAAATGTGGCCAGTTGCCCAGCAAATGACCTCCTTAAAGACATGTTCAAATAAGGACGGGTGGGTTTTATAAGTATTTGCCCAAGGAAGACTTTCCTAATATTACATCTTTTGCATCAAAGTACCTTTCAATATTTGGAACAACATACAAACATTTTCAATAATGAAGTAGGCCTACGTGAAGAACAATTTGAGAACAAACTTGGATCTCGACTGTGTTGTCAGTCCCCGAATGTTTCTCTCAGACTTTTTTCTCGGGGGGGGGGGGGGGGGGGGGTGCACTTGAAATTTATATTTATATATATATATATTTCTAAATAAATATTATTTCGTTGAGGTGGGGGGAAGACGTTCTTTGGGGGAGGGGGGGGGGGGTGAGGCAGGGGTCTACGTCATCCCGAACAGATGCCTGGAAGAAATTCTGTTCTGGCCCCCGAACTGATATTTGATAGTCAATGCGGCCCTCGGGCTGAAAAGTTTGGAGACCCCTGCTTTAAAGTGAAAATGACAAACTGCTAAAAGTGAGGTAAAATTCAAATTGTTAAAGCAATTTGAAACACACAAGTGAAAAAAAAAAGGAAGGGGTCCCTCCTGACATAACCAAGTATTAAAATCCCCTGACCTTTAAATTTACTGAAGTCCAGATGGGTTTCTCGGATTGAGAAATCTGCTTGGAATGGAGCAATCTGTTCTCTTAAGATGAGTAAATGTTTGATTAGAAACAGCTCACCATCAAGCTTGCTTTGCTAAAGAAAAAAGACAAAATTAGTAAGACAGCAGGCTGTAGGAAACATTACTGGACATAATATAACACTTAAACTCTTTTAGATAATGCTTACAGGGGATGCGATTATCATACAATTAATAAACTTACAGAAGACTTAATTTTATCATACTTTACAAGATTTTTAAAAGAATTTATTTCATTAAAAGTAGCAGTATTTGGTTCTTGCAGTGAACAAAATGACTTATTCTAAAATTAAAATGTATCTAGTAAGTTTTACAAACCTTTCTCTTGACTATCCCTTCTTTAGCATTCTTTAAAGAAACAATGCAGGCTTGTAGTGTTTCCTGTGAGAGACCTTGGAATGTTGTTTTCTGCAGGCATATTGCGTAAGTTATAATAATACATTGCTTACTCAAGCAAAAATACGGAACATTCATATTGTTTAAAATATATTTGATAGCATGTTTGATAAAATAAAAATAAATAACCTCTCTATTATACAAAGTAAAATAAATTAAATTGGCTTCTATTAAGAAAAATGTGCTTACATCAATACACCTGTACAGCTTGGAGAGTGTAACTAGAGCCCGCCGAACTGTTGGGTACCACATCCCATGGAGATCAGCTGGTGACATTGGCATGTTGCTGCCAGGTTCCTCCAGACCTAGCAGAAGTAGAACAAAGTTCTGTAGCTCTTGCGCATTTCTGTTTCATTTCAAGGAATGGCAAATACACTCATTCAAGTGCTATAACTCTTATGAAAAATACTGTTATTTTTTTAAGCGTGAAACAAATATTTTATAATCATTACTTAAACGCACAATTTTTCTGCATCTACCATATTACTTTTTCTATAATACTCCCTCCCATTCGTTACTAGCAGACACCTGACTTGAGTTACAGAAAGTAAGGGTGGCTGAACATAGAGCCAACCTCACTATGCTTTGCATGCTGAGAGTGACCTAAGATAATAATTCACACATGACAACATACCAACACTAGCCTGTGGATCTAATCATGACTTACTTCTGTCCAGGGGAACTTCCTGCATATCTTCATCAGCACCATTGTTAAGAGAACCATTAGACATGTAAGAATCACTGTTGGTATCCCCTGCCCCAGTTAACATTGCAACTTCATGGGATGTGCTTGATGCATTGGAAGGTGTGCGGGAATGGCTTGTCCTGGGTGGCTTCCCCTTTTTAATACTTTCTGCAATACTCTGCACAAAAACACAATAGATTTTTTTTTAAACTTTTATTGATAATCCTAATTAAATTTAATATATCAATTCAATCTCTTTTCAACACTTTTTGTAATGTTCTGTGGAAAAAAAATGCATGATAAATATTCCCTCACTATTGATTTACGGTCCTAGTGAAATAGAAATAAACTATTACGTAAATTTAGTTCAACTGAGTAAATTCTTCAATAAAAACAAATAACTATGCCTGTGTGTACCTCCATCATTTCAAGTTTCTCTGGATAAGCCAGATCACCGGGCGCAGCGTTGTACTGAAGAATATCAGACTTGATGTAGATGTACGTCCTGTACACTAGCCTCTCTTGTATGTCCATCAACATCTGTTGACACACTGATTCAAAGGCTACAAGCTCTTGAGCTGCAATGTTTGTTTTTTTTTTAATTTTAATATTTTTCTGCTAACTGTTACAGCTTGATTTATTAACCTATTCCCTCCTGTAAACCCAATTCCTAATTAATAAAAAAAATAGTAAAAATTAAAATTCTTGAAAAACGGGAAGCTACCATGATTTTCATACCACACATTAAAAAAATATTGTTAGTAATATGAATAAATTGAAATATAAAAAATACCACTTTACACATTACCACTGAAACACATTACTGTACAATAAGAACAAATGACAACAAACACAAAAAATAATAAAATATTTCCATTTTTTGCATTACTTTAAATAACTAAAGAATGTCATATTTAAAAAGTTATACAGGAAAGTTTAATATTTCAAAAGTATGACCGAAAAAATTCTATTTCTTAAGATTACAAACAAGTTACTCACGATTTTGTTTGACATGCTCTTCCATCATTTCTATTTTAAGGATGCTGCATAATTCAGAAAGGGTTTCCAGGTGATTGATATGGATGATCAGAGGCCGCAGAACATCATACAGATTGTTACATATCCTTTCTAGCATTTGACTGGAAAGGATGTTTTTTTTTTTAAAAAAAAAAAAGGTTACCAAGAAAACAAAACTAAATATACATATATAATATGATTATATAGTCACTTATAGCTTATTAGTAACTGATCTTGATCCATACTTACTCTAAGAGTGGTGTCCCTTTAGAAAAGAAATTAAAGAAAAGCTGATATTCATCTTCACAAACATGCACCATGAACGCACAGCCACTGCGCATCTGTTAAAAAAAACAAGACAAAATTTACCACGTAAAATATACACCTAAATATTAAATACAATCTTAATAGTTAACAAGGGATCAATTGGGCGAATGAAGTAGAGTTTCTTGACCTCTGCAAATAAAGGGATAGTGTGGTTAGCACTATGCCTAACCGCCTATGCTTTCACCAATGCAAGTAAGACCTGAGTGGATTCAGGGAAATCCGACTGTCACAAGTCCAAACCGAAATTTGAACTCAAACCTTCGGGCTAGCAGTCAAATGCTCTACTATTCAACCATGCAGTCTCATTTCTTAATAGCGTAATATCTTTCTTAATATTTACCAATGCGCAGTGGTCTCTAACATGTTTTGAGGCCAAGTCTGTTATAGTTGTTGAAATACTGGGACCTAGAAGAGCTTCCCTCTGACTGAAGTAAAAATTGTAACAGTCTGCAAGGGTATTTGCATACCTGAAATGAATAATTTGTATTGTTATTATTTTTTGTGAGAAGAGGTTTAAATAAAATATTTTAAAAGATTTGAGATTCTATATGACTTAGAAAATCATGGTTTTAATTTTAAAAACTGGTGAGCACAGAAATATAATCCAGGAAAATAGCATACATTTATCTAATTTTTTGTTTACTTTCAGACAAGTAAATTGTAAACCTAGGACATATTGCATCTATAGTTAAATAATTATTATGCAGCTAAAGTGTGAACGGAATCTTTTATTAACCAGTGACACTATTTTGTAAATTTTATAAAACAATTTGTTTTCCATTTGATTAGCAAAAATGTTTCAATGACTTTTGGATAGGCCTACCTATTAAAAACCATTCAACAGTGTTTAAACAAGATTTTTTGTTAAAAATAAAGATTATTTTCTAATTAACAAACAAGCACAAATTTACTCATTGTCTTTCTCTGTTCGTATTTCCAGCTGCTCTGTCAAAGACTTTACTCTTGGTGCATTGGTGCGAAATTTTCCATAAAATAGGGTGAAAGCATTATCAGCCAGGTTGGAAGAATCCTAAAAAGAAATTCCATGCCCAATAAGTGGCTTACTTTTAAATATTTTAAAGATCGTGATATTATGAAAATCATGTGTATATTTTTAAGGTAAAATCTAACAATGGTGTGATGGTACAAAAAGAAAGGTCTCTAATATAAATACCTTTTTCTGCTGAATCTGTTGTGTCGCTGTTAGTAGGATATTATTTACATGGCTCTTAATGAGATTCAAGGCTTTGCTAAGGCACTGACGGAAACGGGCAAGGTAAACATCACATTCTTTATACCGAGGCTGAAACAGTAAAGATCATTATTATAAACTTTTACAATGAAGGTAACAAAACTTTTCTTTAAAATATGTTAATGTGTGATAAAAATGTAAAAATAATGTAGATAAAAAATGTAACTACAGCTAAGACATATTTTTAACGAAGTGTCTACTCGGAATAAGATTTTTCGGCAAAAGATAGTTCTGCGCATGCGCAGTGACCTATGGCTAGGGTTAGGGCTAGAATGAGGGTTAGGGGTAGGTTAGGGATAGGGATAGGGTTAGGGATAGGATTAGGGCTAGGGTTAGGGATAGGATTAGGGCTAGGGTTAGGGTTAGGATTAGGGATAGGGTTAAGGATAGGATTAGGGTTGGTATTAGGGTTCTGCGGTTGTAAACACACGCATGCGCAGTGCCATCGAAAACATCGCCGTTAAGTCGTAGTTTCTCTCCATTGCGCATGCGTATCGCATGCGTATCTTATTCCGACTAGAATCGGCCTATTTTTAATGTATTCAAATAACTTACATTACTCTTTAGGTATAATATACATTCATCCATCCTAGATAATAATGGTATGAAAGTCTCACTGTTCACTGATAGATTTGGGCGGCTTAGTTTCTAGAAGATATTTTCTCATAATAAATGTCTAGTATAAATATAATTTCAAATTACAAAGCAGACATAACTTTCAAGCCAGAACACATTATTATAAAATACAAATTCTTTTTTTTTTTACTTAAGATAAAGTTTAAATTTTAAACAATAAAATATAATAATAAATACACACAGGAAATGTTGGATTCAAATAATACCATTATGATTACTACACAAACAATAACATTACAAAAAAATGTGACTTACAGTGGATATGCTGTCTAATTCATTAAAGTACGATAGCTTATTACTTATGTTCTCAGCCAAATCCATTAGATGTGTCTGAAAGAGAAGAAACAAAGCAATCACTTTTAAATTACAGAAAATGCTGAAAGCTTAAATTTATTTTATTGTAATAAAGGGATGGAAGTTTTAGCAGCTGACTAAAGAAAAAACTTTTCACTTCGACTCGGAATACCTGAACTGTAAGATTTAAAATGTATACGGTAAAACAAGTATAACCACAATGCTTCTGTGAATACCAGCAATTTAAGTTGTTGAAACATAGTTGACTGTAACAGAAATATAACCCCACATTGCTCTGTGAACTTTAAAAAAAAATTAACTTAATTAACAAGAAATAATAGATGATAAACCTAGTATTGTATTACCTGTTCAGCCAGCAAATGTTCACACTCCTCATGTAGAGCATTGGTCTTTGTGGACACATGTACATACTGACCACTGAGCTGCTTGAGGTAATCCAGTGCATTGTTGACCTCTGATAAAACACTATTGCACTGTTCTCTATACTGTCCTAATTCATCTGTGTATTGTCTGGCAAATTGCAGAGCATTACCATAGTTTAAGTGTCTTAGCTCAAAAGTTATTCTACAAAAAATTTAACTGGCATCTAATATTTGATTCACCTTATTACATGCAAAAACACATTAACTGTCTTTAATTGGTACAGAGTGTGCAATATGCATAAATAATGAATTTTTTGCAAGTCTTCATTAATATATAATTTTATTTGAACAACATAATTATATGTTACCTGTACAAACCACCATCATCTCTGTCTAAGGCTTCTTCTAACTCAGAAAACCAAGAAAAAAACTGGAGGGGAAAGAAAAAATATGTCATTCTGATAACTAATTTCAGAGGATAATATTTAATGCTGTTTTTTTTAAAGATAAATAGAACTAAAAGTTATTAAAGAGAAATGAAAAAAATAATTACTACTACTGATGACACAGACATGCCTCAAATAATTATACCTGTTGGGCATTTTCGATTTTGTTGCCTTCAGGCAGTTTAGTGCCTTTCATAAAATTAGTAAGAGATGAAGCATCCACATTGCTGTCCTTTTCTTGAGAAGACACTTTCATTGGAGTCAGAGACTGGGAATCATCTTCTGGAAGCTAAACAATATTTCACAATGGCTTAGAAACTATGTTAACTAGCCTCAAACTGTAATTAATATGTGAAATATAAAACAGTCAAACAGTAATGTGTACATGGCATGCCTATTTAGGAAGAGTGTAGATGTACCACTGCTAATATGAGATCAATTTTAAGGTGGATAATTGGATTAATGAATAGTCAAGTTTATCATTTTGACCCACTGTTAAGTATCTTAGCAATTACTTAGTTGACTACCAGAATAAGTTATCTAACAACCTTTTTTTAAGAAGATTTCATAATCAGTGCATTATCGAAAACTGAACACCCCATATATCAAAACAATACATCATGTGGCTAATGTGTTATACCAGTCTCTGGTATTTGGCTAGGTCCAATACTGGCCAATCATCATTCGGGCCAATGCAACACAGGAACAACATCAGCCAGCCATGGGAGTAGTTTTTTTTTTTTTTTTTGACAACCATTTGCCGTTGGAAATGATTCTTAGAGAAACTAGCAAACTAGTAGACCTATAAGTATTACAGTAATAAACTAGACCTAGATTTTTATTAACTAGATCTACCGATGAGACAGGCCTTGATCTAGCATTTGAACTTTGACTTTTGTTTGATCAACAAATGAGATTGATTTGAATTTGAATGATGAAGTTTGGATGGATCATGGAAGTAATAAACAAAACTTGCATTGGTTGGTAATGGTCTTTGAGAAGCGAGAATTCCTAAATCATGTATTAGATTTCTCTGATCTGAAGAGAGAGGTGCAATCGGGTCTAATTTAGCTTCCCATGATGAAACTCTATCGTGAATAAGCCTGTGATCCACAGGTTTAGGATAAGAATACGACGTGTCAGCCATTTTGACACAAAGTAAGGTAGTTCCAAAAGTCTGATTCAAAACGAAAGAGCATAATACTTACAAATTTACAAACTGAGCGTTAGCATTTACAAAAATTAATTATTTTAAATATTTATTAAATTATATTTCACAATTTTGAAATTTCTGATGCAAATTAATGAAGCTCAGATAATTAAGGATATTAAATCGTTACTTTATTTATTTTGTTTAAATTTTGGGTATACTTTTAAAAAAAAATATTTGCTTACAAGGCTAAACCTAGCAGTATTATTTACTCAGTTTGATAGTTCCTGGAAAAGTAAGATGGCGCGGTATGACAAAATGTTTTTGTTAGGCACTGGGAGTTACGGCAAGGCTTGGGTGGTTGAGACACAAAAGCCAAAAAGAGATAAAAAAGTTTTAAAAGAAATCAATTTAAAAACTTTGGCCGATAAAGATGTAGATCAAGCACTGACTGAAGTTGCTATTTTGTCAAGATGTTGTCACGAGAATATAATCAGTTATTCGGAAGCTTTTGTTGATAAACAAACAATGACGTTGTCAATTGTAATGGAATATGCATCTGGTGGTATGTACCATCACTAGTAAACAAACTATTCGTTTATTTCTTCCTTTCCAACAGTTTTTTTTTCACATCATTTTAACTTTCAACATACAAAAACTGAAAAACTGTACAAAAACACATTAAACAATTGAAGGAAACAGAGTAATCAAACTCACGAGGCCTAATAAATAATATATTAAAATATTATATTAATTAATTATTACTATTACTAGTCTATCACTAATTACAGTTTTACTATTACTCACTGTGTATGAGAATCAAATTACAAAGTTGTACTTTCACTACTTTGTGTTAGGGTACCTAAACATTATTTATTTTTTCCCGAATTAATAGGTGACCTGCATAAGCAAATAAGTCAGCGAAGAGGACTTTACTTTTCTAATGAGGTAAAACATTGCTATGGCTTGTATATTATAGATTATTGATAATCGGAGATAAAAATGCTTCCAATCTTAGTTCCTGCCAGAACTGACATGACCTAAACTGAACTAAAAATTTGTTTATATTATTAAAGTTTATTACCAAAATGAATTTTTTTTCTCTTTGTTTTTCTTCTTCCTATTAAGCCTGAAACAAATAAATGACTACTCTGCTCATAATGTTAACCATAGAGCACTGTTTAGGATAAACCTTCTAATCATATTTTTATGTTTGTATATCTACAGAATGTTATGAGGTGGTTTTTTCAGCTATTGGCTGCTTTGTGTTATATTCATCGCAGAGGCATTCTTCACAGAGGTATATCTTTATTCATTCATTGTTTTAAATTTTAGCATACTGGTTTCCTATTTGAACTAAAATGAGAACTATAAACTAATAAAAATCTCATTGAAATATCATTTCATTTACAGTTTGACACTGAATAAATACTAATAATATTTCTTTTTATTTTGTAATTACCTGAGTGACTCTTTATGTGGCTTTTGAATAGTTCTTTGTATTTCCAGATATCAAGCCTCAAAACTTGTTTTTAACAGACAAACAGGTTTTAAAGTTGGGAGATTTTGGAATATCAAAAATTCTCCCAAAAGATGGCGATGTAGCTTTCACGTTTGTTGGGACTCCATTTTATCTAAGCCCCGAGATTTGTCAACAGCAACCGTATCCCAAACTACTTTTATATATATTATTTATATATATATATATATAATTATAAATTATTATTTATTTAAAAATGTTCTAAGGCAAAATATTTCTATTATGTTATTATAATAATTTAATGTTATTATCAATATGTTAAAACAAGAAACAGCCTTAATTTGCACTCTGTTCCATTTTGTGTTTTTCCTTAATTTAACTAAGTTATAGCTTTAAAAGTGATATGTGGGCTGCTGGATGTGTCCTTTATGAACTTTGTTGCCTGAGAGTTCCATTCACAGCTACCAACTTGCCCAGTCTAGCAGCACAGATTCAACTGGCTGTTTACCAGCCCTTGCCAAGGTACAGCATCATTATCTTAAAATGTTTGTAAAAGTTTCATGAACTAAAATGTTTCAAGATGAATGTGTTTTTTTCTTTAACTGAAATGTTGCCCTGCTCTAGCCAGAGTACATTGTATAAATGTGACATCTCTAAAACTTTTGTTTAAACCATTGTAATTTGACTGCTTATCTATCTAAGCCACTGCAGTGAATTGTTGAGTCACCTCGTGAAGGTTCTTTTAATGTCAGAGCCAGCCAAACGCCCAGCGGCAGAGGAGATTTTTCAGAATCTTTCAGTCAAGGTAGGTGAATCAGTCCAAAATCAACAGGTTTTTTTTATTATTCACACTGCAGAATAAGCAAAAAATCTCTGGCTCCTAATGTAAAATTACCATATTTGTTTTTAGAGCATGCAGAATTTTTTCCTCATATTTCTTTACTTTACTTATGGTTTTCTGTAGATTACAGACTAATAACAAATGTTTTCTTTGACTTCAAACACTATCAAAACATTTCATCCTGAGTTTAACACACTGTGAAATGAGTTTAAGAAATAAAGACAACAATCCATGTTCTTTGTTATGATTCATGTTACTCTTTTGGTTTCCTCAAGGAATATTTGGTAAAACATCCAGAAGTTCTCCCATCATCCCATGCTCTGAAGGAAATCTCCAACCTTGCTCGTAGAGGGAGAACACACACCCGGCATGAAAACACAGCAGGAAAACAGAAAGTTCTGGATTTGCTCAACAAGGAGAATGAGGATGTTGAAACAAAGTTTGGACCTGGATTTGAGGGTTTTATAAAAAAGGTAACAGGATTAGCTTATGAAACCATTTTTCTTGCTATAATGATTTGTCACATGTTTAAATACTTAACTTCTATACCAAAATTAGTTTGTGACAGTTGTTAAGTTTTATCTTAAACTTGTTCAGTTCTTACAAATTCAAAAATTGTCATAAAATGCATCATTTAGTATTTATGCTATTTATAGAACACGAGGAAGAAATTTCTGTTCACTGAATTTGTTTTTTCTAACTCAATTATTACATTCTTGTGTTTTGTTAGTTTTATTTTTTTATGTTTTGAAAGTTGTTGAACAGTGTTCACAAAATAGTAGTTATGTCCCTTTGGTCTGACAAAATGTTGTCAATGTTTTGACAGTTCAGGGTTTAGGTGTTTTTTTTTTGTTGCTCAAAAAATGTTCCCTACTTGTGATGTTGTGAAAAATATGAGTCTTGGATGACATGCTTTGGTATTGCTCCATATTTTTCCTCACTTCTGGAAAAAAGAACCCATGACCAACCATTTGTTTTGCTTTTTGATGAATCCCTAAACAAAGAACTGCAGAAGAAACAGCTTGCTGTACATATAAGTTTGTGAGATGTGAACAAAGTTACCACTCGGTATTTCACCTCTGATTTTCTGGGACATTCCTGTACCTCTGATGTTTTGGAGACATTTACAGCTAAAGTTGCAGAAAAGGTGGATTGAAAAACGTAGTGCAACTTTCAATGGATGGCCCCAATGTCAATTGGACAATCTTCAAGTGCCTGCAGGAGAAAGTTGCTAATGTTTGTGACAATAAGTTAATTGACATTGGTTCATGTGGCCTGCACACCTTGCATAACAGCTTTAGAGCAGCCATAGACAGCACAGGTTGGGGGTTGTCACAGACACTATCAGCGTTACATTATTTGTTTAAAGATACACCAACTTGAAGAAGGACTATGAAAAAGTAACTGGCCAGACAGTATTCTTTGCATTATTGTGGCCATAGGTGGTTGGCAAATATTGCTGCCTGTCAGAGGGCTCTTGAGATTTATGACAGCATTAAGTGTTACATAGCCAAAGTGGAGAAAAAGGAAGTCAAGAACCCTGCCACCAAGTCATACGATACTGTAAAGGAGTGGGTGAGAGACCCATTTGGCAGGGCAAAAATGTCATTCGTAGTTAGTGTGGCAAAACCAGTTGAATCTTACTTAGAAGAATATCAGGTAGATAAGCCAATGTTGTCCTACATTTCTCAAGATCTGGAGAGGCTGATGTCGGTACATTAAAAAGGATATTTTGGACAGTGCAGTATCAATAGAAAAGCTGTTGCTTGTAGATAGAAAAATAGATTCGAATGTGAAATTGTATTCAAAAATAGATTTAGGCTTTGTCACAGAGGAAGAGCTAAAAAAAATATTGTGGTTTCTGACAGAGGTGTTATGGATTTTAGGATGTGTTGTAGGAAGTTCATCTCTAGATAGGATCTGTGCCAAGTCTCAACTAAATTATACCTTGATTCATCCTGCTCACGTGCTGGACCCTGTCTTTTTTAACTCAAATGATGGAGATTTCTGTTCAGAACTTTTCAGGAAAATTGTAGACAACTTTTACTACTCTGGCAAAATTCTTTTAGAAGACTGTGACACCATCATTGACCAATTCAAGCGATTAGTCTTTCTAACCAAACAACAGTAACACCACACGACAGACTAACGTTTTTTTTTTCATTCCATCATGGCCAATAACAGAAACAGTGGGGTGTGTTTCATTTCCTCCTCCTGCTGTCGCATGTTCATGCTACTGTTGAGAGAGGATTTTCCATCAACAAAGAACTCACCACAACAAATCTCTCTACACGCAACCTTATTGCTAAAAGAATCATAAAAGACCACATCAGTTTTATTGGTGGTCTTTCCAATCTTGTGGTAGATAGTGAGTTAATGGCAGCTGCCAGGTCTGGAAGAAATAGGTATTTGGATGAGAAGAAGTTGGAGGAGGAGTGCAGAAAGAAAAGTGGAAGATGGAGGAAGATGAAATTTCAACAAAGAGACAACGACTGACCCAGGACATACAATTCTTGAATAGCAATATTAACAGAAAGTGATATTTCAACGCCAAGGGTAGACAAAGGTGAAGAATATAGTCCAAGTAGAGACAGAGCAGTCAAACCCAAAGGGATCTGAACCTACCTATCAAGGCAGACCACCATCATAACTTGTGCATAGAAGACGCAGGCAGGCTGGACCTCTGACCCCGAAGGTTCTGACAATTCTTGAATAGTGACACTGACGCTGCCTCAGAGTAAGCATAGAAATTACAGTTTTTCTCACCTCTCAAAGGCTAATGCACTGAGAGCCAAAGCAAAGGACTTAACAAAGGAATTGGCCTTGTAGGGTGTAACATAACAGGATAAACTGCAGGCGCTGTCGCATGTTTAGGTATGTTATGTCTGGTATTTGTATTATAGGGAATAAAAGCTGCATAAGATATGTTATTTTTCTTTTTTATATTTCTTAAGTTTTTTGTCTGAGTGGTTCTGCGCGTGAAAAATGTATGAAAAGTGGCAGGGAATTTTTCCAAAAAGCAGGGAATTTTGTAAAAATAGCTGGGAATTTTGTAAAAGAGCAGGTAATTTTTGGTAAAAAAATTGTGGGAACCCTGGTTACATTTTTAAACATATTTTTGAGTTTATTGTTTTGTTTTAACTGATTGATAAATGTAATGTTTAACATTTTCCAGAACATTGCCAGGCCTATTGACAGCACCACATACACAGTTGTAAGACACCCCTCATGCAAGAGGCTGTCTCTAGCCTCCCCTGAACTCAGCTCAATGATACAGAAACAAAGGCTGCTCACTGCTGAAAACCAAAGGGCCCATTCTGTTGATGCTCCGCGCTCACACAAATCTAGAAAAAAGGTTTGTACCTGTGTTCTGTAGTACTTTTCTATGTGTACTCTGTATTGTTTCTGCGTTAGTGTTTGCTTTAGAAAAAAAGTTTGTACCTGTGTTCTATTGTACTTTTCTAGGGTACTCTGTCCAGTTTCTGCGTTAGTGTTTGCTTTAGAAAAAAAGTTTGTACCTGTGTTCTATTGTACTTTTCTAGGGTACTCTGTCCAGTTTCTGCGTTAGTGTTTGGTTATCAATTACATTAATGCTGGAAATCCCAAGCTACAGTAGTTATTTCTTCTAATGTAGCCTATTGAAAATAAATTCAAGTATTAGCATAATCAAGCCATAGTTTTATAAATCAGTTTTTAGCTCCAAGAATCCCAAGGGAACTTTAAAAATGGCACTGGAGTGTTGAGCTTTCTCCTGCTTGTATCTGCTTTGCATTGAACTAAAGATTTATTTTTTCACTGCTTTAAAAAATGTTATATGACTATATGCTAGTTTAGCCTTAAATTAGAACACTGTATACTAAGTTTAGTTGTCTGCCATTTTTAAATTGATAAACATTGTGGGGGATGTACCAAATAGTATGTCTGTACCAGCTCATTTTGAGTTTCTGTTGTCTGAAACTCCATTGTTTTTTAAGCAGGATTCTGCCCCCAAGTTGAGCCTATTACTCTCCCTCCAACAAGTGAACAGCTGGCAGGACCAGGGAAGGAATGACCATGGTAAACACAGTCTACGAGATGATTCTTCTGAAAGACAGTCAAGCACTGAAGCTTCTGGTATAGATGTTATTTTAGCAACAATAATTCTTTTTTTCCATACCTCCATAGGTGTCTAGATCTTGTCACCTTTATTTGGGGGATAATTAATATGTATAAAAACACTGCTACCACCTTAAAAGTTAATGGCTGTTTAATAATGAGCTGTCATTATGAAGTAACATGACATTTGGGGACGATAAGGTTACGGTCCTGTTTGACCTAAACGTCCAAGTGGCGTAGAGTTTCTGTGAACTCACAATTAAGGGATCTCAGCTGTCTTTTCTTTCCCTGAGTAGAGCTAGCAGAACTTGGGGACTTGAACCCAGGAACTTTGAGGTTATCCATTGAATGCTTAACCACACCACCCCAGTTCATAGTGTAAATAATCTAGAACAATCAGATTTTGTTATTGATTATTCAATGATGTAATTAATTCCTACCAGAAGCTGCTATTGACCACATAACAGAAATAATCTACAACTCAGTTGCAACTGACAAGACTCTGCTACCAGCAACAGCGCTAGAGATCCACAGAGAGCTGACCAGTGCGCTAGGGAAACAGACAACAGATGCCCTCATATCCTCAGTCAGGAACAAAATGGACTACAAGGATTTGATCAATGGTTATGACATTAGCCCTGCCTTACTGCAGTCTGTACTTTGGTATCTGAAAATTTCTGGACAAATCCCTAAGTCGTAGACGTTGTGATTCAATTTTCCTCTACTTTGTTGTTTGTTTTTCATTGGTACTCTGTAAATGAAAGATACTATAAAAATTTCTGTTCATGTAAATTATTTATACAGCAGTGCATCATATGTTTTTGCTTGTTTTTGGAAGCTGCAATATAATTTTGATTTGTAATTTAAGCCTGCATTTCCAGTAAAAGTAAATTTGAATGCACCATAATTTCCTTTTTATTTAAAGTAGTTGATTGTATTTAATGAATTAATGTTTCTGCTAAACAAAGTTAAATTGACACAAAATGTGCCCTTATACAATGCTCAACAGGTTTTTGATAAAGAAGCTACACTTCATTTTCTGAGTATTGATCAAGTTCATTCTTTATTACAAATGTGACAAATATAATTTATAAACAGTATTATATTATTTATATGTCAATATATTTATGCATATGTTTAATTACAGATAAAAGCTTTACAATCTTGTTTCTAGTAAATATATCTTGTATTAATTATCCTTTTTAATATATAAATTATTATACAAACACCAGATTACAATCAACAAAAAACAATTTACTCGAATATACACAGTGGCAGTTTATATTCCTTAATAAACTAAATGTTTGTTGTCTGATCAAACAAAATAGTTTTGTTATGTCTATAAAATGTACTTTAAAAAATTGTTTGGTTCCACGCTAATTAGGTGCACCACAGCCATGATTAATTTTGTATTGATTAAAATAATCTTTGATGCAAACAAAAGAGCAGTTGATGAGATGACATGAATTATTTACAATGATAAAACATTTGATGATATTGTTTCATGAAATCAGCACTGTTACATAGAAACTTGATTGTTACATAAAAACTTGATTGTTACATAAAAACTTGAGCATTTACGTCACCAGCACATGGTGTAGTATCAGTGCTGGATATGTTATCTGTACAGCTAGACATGTAAACAAACAGTATCTCTTTTTATCTCTCTTGAACATTGTATTCCACTATCTCAGCAACTTTACTCTCAAGGTTTGCTTATTTTTTTTTTAAATTCACAATTTATCATACTACAACAATGGTAGTGGAATTTAATTTACAGATGATAGAATAACTTTTAATGAGGAGGTCAGTTAGAAGGACTTTCAGACTTTGTTGATAGTTTCTACTCCTTTTTAGTAATTCACGCATGTAGTTCTATATATTGAAATGTGTATGTTTATCCTGCAGTGTAGGCCAATCAGATCTTCCAAAGCTGAGTTTAAGTTTATAGTCAGACACTGTTATTTGCTAATGTGGAAGAAGGGACAGTTTAGCATATTTTAATTATTAAAAAAAGCCTGTTATAAATCCTAGGCTTAAAATGTAATGTAAACTGTTTTAGCCCTTTGAATAACATCAACACCGACTCTGTCCATCTGGTTTTGAAGTGTTAGAATCATGGACTGTCTGAACACTCAACACCTCTCTATCCAGCTGGGCTTGCTCTGTTTTTTGACAATTTATTCCTTTTTATCCAAGAACTGATGGTTACTAGTGCAAGGATAATGTTCAATGCACAATCCACGATGGAGTATGTGTGGAACAAAAGGTCTGTGGTGTCTGCCATTGTCGTCAGAAGACGGCCCAACGAGCAGAAGTTGGTCAGGAAGATGAAACGTCTGCTTGGGAATCTTGTTTCTCCCTTCTGGCTCTGAGTGTTAAAAACTCGTCTGCTCTGAGTTGTTTAAAGAAATTTTTTTTAAGAAATGAAAAAGCCTTAGAATGAAGTTAAAACTCACAATAGTGTGAAACAAATCAAATGTTAATAAGTTTATACCAAGTAATGGTATGAATTGTTTGTACTAAATTTGCCTCATTAAGTAATGTCTGTAAAGGCTAGGGGTAATCCATAAATGAGGTCATGTACCCTGGGGTAGGGGGTCTGACTTTTTTATGTGTAATGTAGAAGGAAGAGTTTAAGAAATTTTACATGAAAAACTTCTGAAAGTTATTTTTCTATTGAAAGGTGGAGTTGCAAAATCTGCTAAAAAATAGTGACATCATTTATGAATGACCTCTGAATAAACAATAAATAAATAAAGTAGCCTAGAATAAAATGTGTGCTCACCCTACCTTTCTGAAGATGTTGATGGGTATGTTGAGCAGCATGAGTCCACTGAGAACCTGGTCAGACACCAGCGGCCACAGCAGCACCACCATAACGATGACGTAGAGCACCATAAACACAACAGCGTACCTGTGTCTGCCGGAGTTTAGGCACAACAAATTGGCAATGATGACGTGCAGAGTCAGCAGAAGTATGCCTTCACCCCATGTACTGAAAGGTGGATGTTAAAATTGTTAGACCTAATAATAAAACAGAGAAATGGAATCGTTCTTTATTTCTTAGAATGCTAAATTTATTTTTATTGGGGGCGTGATAACAATAGTGTAAAAACAATGAATGCCTTTATAATTTTAAAAACAATACATTTGTTATAAGTGATAGTCTTTAAATTTCTGTCTATTAGCAAGGTGTTATTGGCTCCTATCCTAGAAGTGAATTGGAAGGTTCAAGAAACCTGGGAATAAAGAGCGGCCACATCTGACATTAATATACTGTTACAGTAACTACCACTGTACCTGCTTTCTAGTTTTCCCAACGGCCACATTGAGCCAGTGGTTATAGTTCTGTCATTAGCACATTAATGGGATGGCATGGCCTAGCGGTAGAGCTACACTGCTAACCCGAAAGTCTTGAGTTCAAGTCAATAGAATGTCCTTGAGTCATCCCAGCTCTAATGGGTACATAACTTACATTACGGAATCTAAAGCGACTGGGCATAGAGCTGATCACACTAACCCATCATATGTCGAGGTATCTGAAGCAGATGAACTCTACATTATCTGCCCCATATGTCTTGGGCACGAACGGGAAAAGATGATGATGATTAGCTCATTTATGGTATCAGAAGAGTAACAACACTGGGTATAGCTCTATATCGAAAAAAAAACTGTCTCTGTAACTCACCTGACTGGTAGATTTTTATTGACAGCATAGGCCACAAAATTGGACGAGGTAAACACAAGCGATGAGACTTGTATTGTACCGATGTCTGCCTTCTTGCTCTGTAGTTTTAATACTTTATACAGTACTGGAAGCTCACCTGATCAAATAAAATTATTAGTCTTGTATTATTCATCACATTAGAAATCTACACCTATAAATTAAAAAAAAATAGATATAGTTAGCTTACAAAACGATCGGCACTTTTCTTTAAATGGAACTTGATAGGCTCACAAAGCCATTACCTCCCCTTTCGCCACTTTTCTCCCTTATATGATGATGCTTATATTTGAATTGTAACCAAACATCATTCCCTTTAAGGGGCAAAAGCAGAGGCGTAGCGAAGGGGGGGGGGGGTACATAATAAATATGTCCTCGGGCGCCGACCCTAGGGGCGCCAAAATGGGTTGGAAAATAATATTAAAAGCTTATTTTAGCTGCAGTTTTGAATTCTAAAAAATATAGGGGGGGGGGGGGATGGGTTGGGGAGCGCTAAATTGAAAGTTTGTTCCCGGGCGCCTGGAGGGGTCGCTACGCCTCTGGGCAAAAGCTTGTGTGTAATACATAGTTTGTGTGTGCTAGGCTCTGGAACATCTTATACAAGGTTATTTCTATTTTACAATACGACTACATTTCGACCGCGCAGCATGGAGAGAACATTGCTTGTACCTGCTTTAATTTTAGTACATTTTTGTTAGATGTCTAACAAACAATGTAGAAACTATACAAACAGCCCACTTGTATACACGCATTTACATGTACTCAGTGGCGTAGCGAGGTCGGGTGTCACCCGGTGTGGCACTTAATGGTGGTCACCCCCAAGAGGCGTAGCGACCCTTCCCGGGGACAAACTTTCAAATTTTCGATTTGCACCCCCCCCCCCCTCAAACTTTCCATTTGCACCCCCCCCCCCTTAAGTTATTCTATATATATTTTGCTATTTTTTGCCTTGGTGTCACACCCCCCCCTAAATGGTGTCACCCGGTGCGGTCCCCCCCCCCCCCCCCCCCCCCCCGCGCCTCTGCATGTACTAATATGTAAATGAAAAAAAAATGAAACAAACGTATCATTCTAATAATTTAATAGACTTATAGTTATAGAGCTAGTTGCTAAAAATTTAAGTAGTTTGATGCATGCTGTTACTAAGGGCCTAGTACAGGGGTCGGCAACCTGCGGCTCGCGAGCCGCATGCGGCTCTTTTGATGTCAAGATGCGGCTCTTCAGTTCCATGCACACATATTAATATTTTTTTATATTTTATTTTTAAAACTAATAAAAGTCATAATTTTTTTTTGCAACACTCGGTGTTGAACGTATAATGATAAATATAAACAATTAACACTCGCTATTATATTAGAATGTTTAGTTACTCCCTATTTTCAATATACTTGCCCATCCCAAATTAAAACATTCAACTTCATGGTGAATATCACAAAGAAACTAAACGTGCTAAATGTAAAACTGCAAGGAAAGGAAAACCAAGCATAAGCCTCGCTTGAAGAAGTGGATTGTTAAAAAGAATTCTTTTTTTTTGTTTGAAGACACGGAGAGCGATAAATTATTTAATTTTGAAAAATCTAAAAAAAATATCATGATAAAACCAACGCTACTGTTAACATGAATTACTTCAGCATTACAATAAACACAATGAAGGATGGATTCACTTAAAGATTTGAGCAATTCAAAACAAATGCAAGTACTCTGACGTTCATAGTAGATTCTCTCATCACAAAAACAAATAAGGTTAATAAACTTTGAGCTATTTGGAATTGATGCTGGCTCGCTTCAAATGCAATTGCTAGATTTGAAAACCAATTTGGATGGTAGGTTCACAGATCTTAAGAGCAAGTTAGGAGAGTTTGAGGTCCAGTAAAACATGCACGTTTCGCTGCACAAGTAAACAGCTCTAAAATAAATGCCGCGAGTTTAGGCACTATTATGTGACGCATGGAATAGTCTTCCAGGATACTACAGTGAGGTAAAGAAGTTAGCATTTGGAGTGCTGACGATCTTCGGGTCCTCATATTCATGCGAGCAAGCGTTTTCTTGCATGAATATAATAAAAAGTAAAGAAGCAAACTAACAAATAAAAATCTAGAGGCGTGGTTGAAACTAAAAACAACTTATGAGCCAGGTTTAAACAAACTTTTAAAAGGCATGCAAGGCCAAACTATTGTAAATATTTTATCATTCTTGCAGAGCTAGTTAAAATACCTTCATATTTTTTGTTAGAAACATGTGTATGTTTGTATTTGAATAAATATTATTTCATATTGAAAGCTATTTATTTTAAATTATATATATAGGGCCTATATATATATATATACAGATGTAAAATCCTAATCAAATATCATAATATTGAAATAAAATGTTAGTGGCTCTTTAAAACTTGGAAATTTTGTAAATTGTAACTTTTGGCTCTTCCGTCTCAAAAGGTTGCCGACCCCTGGCCTAGTAGGAAATCTTTTTTTTTTTTAATTTCCCACTTTTGTTGTCTATGAATCGCTAAAATATAACAGCAGTGTTTCTTTCAGGCATCTCTTGGGGGGGGGGGCTCCGCTTGAGTTAATGACTCTAGACGACGA